CTGTGTGGGGAAGATAGAAAAAGGCGCTGAGTACAGAAGACTTAGGACTGATTCTTGAGTAATAAAGAGATTTTGGGAAATAAGAAACAATTTTAATAAGACAGACAGACAGACACGGCTTGTGTGCCTGTGACTCATCCTTTTACTGTCAACTTACAGTTAAGAATGGATCACCTAGACACAGCGGCTTATTTCACCTAAAGATTAAATACCCTAAAGCTACCTGGTGGGGTTAGGTTAGATTAAGATAACATTAGGGTGGTTTATTTTCCGGTGAAATAAGCTGGGCCGCCTAATCTCTAGGTGTTACAGAAGAATGTATCACCTGAAGATTACATACCCCCAGCTTAATTCACCTGAAGATAAACCACCCTAACGGTTTTAGTTTAGCTTAGATTAACGTCAGGTGACGTAAGGAAATATTAGTAAAGACAGCAGGTATTTGTTCTCCCTCACTAACATGAATATAAATATTAAGGTGTACAGTTGTTTCAGTAAATGTTATATTATAACGATAATAAAGAGGGAAGGCAGATAAACACGAGGACATGATACACACTAGTGATCTAAAACGGAGACAAGTTAACACTGACGTAAGCAATCATAGCAAGCTCAGGGGCCGGCCACAATACTGAGTGGGGGGTAGGGGGGAGGGTGGCAGCCACAGCATAACGGGTAGGTGGGTGGCAGCAACATCACGGCGAGGGTGGCAGTGACAGCACAACGGGGAGGAGGGTGGCAACCATATCTCGGCGGGGTACAGGGAGAGGGTAGCAGCCACGGCACGACGGGGAGCTGGCAGCCAACACACGGCGGGGGGAGGGTGGTAGGCACAGCACGACCGGTTTAGTCTCCGGAGCTAACACATCCGTAAAAGCGATTCTCGCTCGCTCGAATGGAATGACCACAGGAAATGAAATGTTACCCGCTCACAGACCAAGACCAGCGGCAGGCGGCCTGAGTCTAACAGGTCGATACTGTGGTGTAATCCCGTACCAGGTGGTGGTGGTGGTGGTAGTGGTGGTTGAGGCATTGGTGGTGGTAGTGGTAATGGTGGTGGTAGTGGTCGTGGTGGTGGTAGTGGTGGTTGAGGCATTGGTGGTGGTAGTGGTCGTGGTCGTGCTATTAGTCGTAGTGGAGGTGATGGTGGTGGTAATGGCTGTAGAGGAGGTGGTGGTAATGGTAGTGTTGGTAAAAGTGGTAGTGGTGGTGGTTGAGGTAGTGGTGGTAGTGGAGTTGGTGGTGGTAGTAGCGGTGGCGTTAAATGTGGTAGAGGATACCTAACTTTGCATTAGAGTGGAGTGTAGTGTAATGTCTCATCGTGTACTGAGGGTTAGTGTTCAGTGCACTACCCCTACCTGGCCGTCACACCAATGGGGGCTGATTTTATAATTATACCAGCGTGTTTGAAGGAGTCACAAAAGACAAGGTTTGGGCCACACTTAACAAGGAGAGGGCCACACTGAACAAGGATAGGGCCGTAAAGAATAAGACCAGATCATACTAAGCAAGACAGGGCTACACTGAGCAAGACCAGGGCCACACTGAACAAGACAGGGCTATATTGAGTAAGACCAGGACCATACTGAGCAAGACAGGACCACACAAAACATTGACAGGGCCACACTGAGCAAGACCAGGGCCACACTGAGCAAGACCAGGGCCACACTGAGCAAGACCAGGGCCACACTGAGCAAGACAGGGCTATATTGAGTAAGACCAGGACCATACTGAGCAAGACAGGACCACACAGAACATTGACAGGGCCACACTGTGCAAGGAAAAGTCCACAATAAATAAGACCTGATCATAATGAACAAGACAGGGCCCCACTGAACAAGGACAGGTCCACAAAGCGAGCCACACTGAGTGAGAAAGACCACTATAAACACAACTACCACATTACCAGGAACTGACTCACTATTGCTATACACAACGTTGAGCCAGTACACACACTCCTCCGCCTACCACCCTAACTTACGCTGCCCTACGCCTGTAACTTATCCTCTCCTGCGCCTCTAACTTATCCTCTCCTGCGCCTCTAACTTGTCCTCTCCTTCGTCTCTAACTTATCCTCTCCTTCGTCTCAAACTTATCCTCTCCTACGTCTCTAACTTGTCCTCTCCTTCGTCTCTAACTTATCCTCTCCTGCGCCTCTAACTTATCCTCTCCTGCGCCTCTAACTTGTCCTCTCCTTCGTCTATAACTTGTCCTCTCCTACGTCTCTAACTTGTCCTCTCCTGCGCCTCAAACTTGTTCTCTTCTACGTCTCTAACGTGTCCTCTCCTTCGCCTCTAACCTCACCTTTCCCTTACCCCTTCTTCTATGTCACGTTATACTTCACACCGTCCCTTTAGCTCCTCTCTTTATCGTATTGCTTCCTTCTCCTTAACATTCCCCCATATGGTTTAATTTTTCCTCCTGGTCTTCACAATTATCCCATTCTCTTTCCTTTTGATCGATTTTTTCTTTCCACGCTTTTACTATCGCTTATTCTTTATTCCCTTTATGTTTTGTTATTTTCGCTTTCTATGATTTTCATTCTCTTTACGATTTTACCTCTTCCTTTCTCTCTCCTGCTTTTTCATTCCGGCAGGGAGCTCTTGAAAACACAACAAAAGTACTAATAATAACGACATCATTAACAACAACAATAATAATAATAATAATAATAATAATAATAATAATAATAATAATAATAATAATAATGATAATAATAATAATAATAATAATAATAATAATAATAATAATAATGATAATAATAATAATAATAATAATAATAATAATAATAATAATAATAATAATAATAATAATAATAATAATAATAATAATAATAATAATAATAATAATAATAATAATAATAATAATAATAATAATAATAATAATAATAATAATAATAATAATAATAATAACGATAACAAAAACAACAGCAACAACAATAATAATAATAATAACAATAACAATTATAATAAATCGTCATTAGAGTGTGAATGTGGCTGATGAATTACAGAGCAAATGCTTCCAGGTTCTTAGAATTATGATGTAGTTAAATTTATCGTAGAATTCATGCCTAAATGATTCTGGAATTTATGTAGTTTCTTTGAATTTCAGAATTAATACCTCTGGGTTAGGTTAGATTAGGTTAGGTTAGGTTAAGGTTGGTTAGGATATGTTAGGTTAGGCTAGGGTAGGTTAGGTTTGTTTAGATTAGAAATACTGGGTAATGAATTTTGTGGATAAATGTTACGAGGTTTGGAATTTCTAAGGTAATCATTTACTAAATTGTTGAGTTTGGGAATTAAACCTCGCATTAAATTCCTGTGGTTGAAGAATTATTTATACCGCGAAGATTTACGAAATTTACGACTTTTCGGTATCACATTCCATTGAAAATGCCTCAGAATTTTAGAATTAATGTCACGATATACACGACTAATGGTTACCGGTACTCAGAATAAATGCTCGACAGGACCCGACAATAAATTCCCAAATAAATGCCAGAGACCAGCACTCGGGGGATATATTTGTCGCTTTGACAAACTATTGAATGATATGAGTTATTTCCCTTAACCCCTTCCCCTTCCTCTTTCCCTTCTCCTTCCCTTTCCTCTCCCCATCCTCTTCACTTTCCTCCGCCCCCCTTTCCCCTGCCTCTTCTGCTCTTCTCTCTCTTCCCAAGATTCACTAACATCACTCCCACCCTCACTACCATTACCATCACCAACTCCTCTCTTATCACCCCCTTCACCTTCATCCCCCCTTATCACCCTCCCCTACCCTCACCTATCACCCTAACCCACCTTCACCCCCTCCCCTACCGACCCCCTACCCCACCATAGTAATTAAGGTAAATCAGATACTCTCACCTGAGTTGCCTCGGAGTTCAATTAACTGATAAGATTTTGTGTAGATGATAAGGGCTATTAAGCTACAAACGACCTAGAAAAAATGGTTATGGGATTATTAGCCTTAAGTCATGTTGTTTATCCTGGGGTTAGAAGAAGCGAATGTCCTTATGAGCAGAAGCCCAGTGGGTGTTCCTGTGCCAGGCGTTAAAACTTCCGTGTTACGTGTTTGTGTTATTGTTATTATTAATCTATTATTATTATTATTATTTTGTATATATGCTCTTATAATCTCAAAGAGAGAGAGAGAGAGAGAGAGAGAGAGAGAGAGAGAGAGACTTGTATTTATATTTGCGTCTCCTCCTCCTCCTCCATCTGCTGCTGCACCTCTTCCTCCTCCCCCTCCTAATCTTTCCACCTTCCCTCTCCTCCCGAAAGCAATTCAGTAAATCAGTGAATATCAACATCCAGACTCAAGTATAAAAGGATAATTGGCCAGTCAGTCGAAAACTTATCGCCGTAGGATTTTGGAATAAGACCAGAAGGTGTTTGACGCTATGAGCCAATTGCTGACAGTGCAAATCAAGTGCCTGGTGAATCCTAAGAAGTGGTAATCCCGCTACCAAGGTTAACCCCATCAGGAGAAGGCTACGTGTGTGTGTGTGTGTGTGGCCTCCTACCTTCCGTTATAGCCTACTAGACTAATATTACTACTACTTCGTCCTTTACTACTACTAGTACCTCAACTACTACTACTATTACTACTACAAATCAACTGTCAGCACATGCTTCTCTTAATTCTCTCTCACCTCCAATAAGATCCGGGACTTGTGTATAACTTCGGAAATCCCTTATCAAAGTGTTAAAACACCCACCCACCCACCCACCCTCTCAGACACACTAAAATTCCGGTTTAAATGAAAAACCTCAAACGGCCTCTTGCGCAAAATCTGGATTATAAAAACCAGATCGACTCGCTAAAAACTTCCCCGCCTCTGGGCCAGTACAAACACCCACCATTACTCGCTCAACAGGATCAACCGGACACCCCAGGACCCGAGAAGTGAAGACCCAGGGAACGGCCGTATACCTGTTGGGCGTTGGTATCACGTGTGGTGTTGTGTGTGTGGTAGAAGCGATGGGGTGTCTTTCTCT